TTTGAAGCAAAAACCAAAGACTAGTTATGACGGAAATGAAAAGAAACTGATTAGTCTTGATGTGAAAGCTAGAGCAGCAATAGGAAACTCTCTTCCCTATCACGTGTAGCATCTTGTATAGAATTGTGGAAGTTCAAGCCACTACCATCAACAACTTCAATCGGAGATACGATCATTTCTTTGCTCAACAAGGTGACTAGGTGAGTCACTAACCCAAACTTTTAACAAGTTTAATTGTGTGGTAAATGATACGCATAGGCTGGGAACTATTAAGAATTCTTCTCCGTTAGTACTGAAGTTCTTGGAATCTCTTGGGAAAAGCTAGGAACATCACGCTGATAGAGTTAAACCTAACCTTCTAAAATTATCTAATCCCTACAACATGTAACCTAACATATTCTCTTAATAGTTAGTTGATATTATTGGAGGTCTCTAAAAACACAAAGCAAGCAACATTTGAGCATCGAGTAATCTAAGCCAGCACCTCACCTAATCAGGCCATTATATCCAATCAATCTGAAATCCATACTAGCATGCAGTTCCATACGGTTAATCAATAGACATATAAAGGCATCACTCCTAGCATTCTATCATGCAAATCTTGAGCAAATCCTGAGCAAATCCTTAACCCTAGTCTAGCATGCAATCCTCATATTCCTATACCAAAACAATAAGCATAACACATGTATGGGTATTTTGGGAAATACTTACTTGAGCTCGGCTGATTTCGTGCATCGTACCCCTTTCTATTAGAAAAACCTTTTTAGGAAAACTCATTTTCTTTTAAAAGATTTTATTAACTCCTCTGTTTGATTTCATACACACCCGATAGTTTGTCCAAATCCCTCGAACCAAGGGTCTAATACCAACTTGTAACATCCCAAAACTACCGAGAAATTTTTTTATTTTTATATAAGTCAAAACCATTCATTCATTATCTCAAAGATGATCAAAATAAAAGTATTCAAAACATCAGAGTAATTCACAAACATTTAGTGCATAATAAATCTTTAGGCGATGCAGTGCGATCAAGTCGGGCTCTTCCTTTTGAAACCAGAGGTACCTGAAAACATTTTAAACATAAACTGTACGCACAAAACTTAGTAAGTTCCCAAATACCACATACCATACAAGCAAAGGGCCCCGCCCAATGAGTATAACGAACCTTGCCCTAACTTGCATAAAAACCCTGCCTAATGAGTATAACGGGCCTCGCTCTGCCTCACATAACGAGCCCTTCCCAATGAGTATAACGGGCCTCACATAACGAGCCCTTCCCAATGAGTATAACGGGCCTCACCCTAACTCGCATAACGGGTCCTGCCCAATGAGTATAACGGGCCTCGCGCTAACTCGCATGACGGGCCCAACCCAATGAGTATAACGGGCCTCGCCCTAACTCGTATAACAGGCCTCACCCAACATACAAGACATGCAAGTATCACACAGACAATTAGAATCCTACAAACATAATATAGTGGGCCGACATTGGTGTCTTCGACCCACGAGTATAGTGAAGAGACTCACCTCAATCCAAAGATAATTGAATCTCACAATCGCCGCTGCTATAAGAGCTCCTCACACTAAACACATCCAAAACATCCCAAATTAATGATTAAGGTGCTAACCCATGATCAAAAGTCTATTCCATACACTCTTAATAGGGTAAAAGACCATTCTACCATTTCCAAGATAACCCCAACCAATCATGGACCAAAGACCAAAAATAGCCCAAGTAAACCTCTCGGAGCACGCCATGCATACTATCTCTTTACGCATTGCGTACCAAGCTCTCACATAAAGGAAAGATGCATTTCCCGTTACGCGCAACGTACGGTTGCGTTACGCCCCACGTAATCCCGCTGATGCTAAAATGCCTTTTTAAGTTCTTAATATTTTAAGACATTCCACTCAAAGCTCATGTCAAGTTCCTTATATATTTGTAATGGATAAGGTTTCCGAAATTACCCATTAAGATGGTCCAAACAACCAAGATCTAGTCTTTAAGTCTCAAAGGGACCAAAAATGCATTTTTCTTAACTTAATCCATTATGTCTAAGTCTCCAACCTTCGGATCTGAATCAATATGATGTTTAGATGGATAAAGTTTTCAACTTTATCCATAAAAAGGTCACAAAACTTTCAAGATCTAAACTTTATGCACTAAAATGGCCAAAAAGTGGCAAATATGACAAATGACTAGATCTATGAAACCAATGAGCAAGTTAGAAGCTTTTTACTCACAATGGTCCAGGAATGATGTAATCTTGCTGGAGCTATACTTGAACTTTTCTTATATATACTTTTCCATCACCTTGCTCTTCAAGATTATACCTTCTAATGGAGAAATAAGCTCATAAATGATGTCAAGGCTCAAAATAAAGAAAGATGAGGTTAGGGTTTCTCAAGAAATGATCTTAGGTGATGGAGGTTGGTAATGAGAGGGTTTCCCATAAGTTAGATCCCTTAAATAGGGCTCAAAACCGAATATTTAGGGTTTTGATCTACCCTGATTACATCCTGCGTAATTCGTTAAACCCCGTTACGCCCTACGTAATCCAAAATCCCCAATTTCCACTTCAACTTCAAACATCCATAACTTTTTCGTTTCAACTCCGTTTTCAGCGTTCTTTATATGCACAAAAAGGTATTGAAGAGCCCCATAATCTTGTTTAATTACTTTTGAGTTAAAACATACTGAACTAAAATCCTTAATTCATGAAAGAAGTCTGAAAAATCACTTTTCCCATTTTACCCTTTGACTCGAAAACACAAACCAAGAGCTTGGATCACATAACCAATACTATCCACATCCAATATGGTCCAAACCCTATTCCCTTAAAGCCCAAGTCCTTTACTTGATCCATTTATTATCCATAATCCCAAAATAAGAAACTTCTTGAAACAGGATGTTACACACACCTAATGCATTCATCAAATAATTTATTAGCATCAACATAAATCCTAAAGCATTTCTCTATCCACATATAACAGGCATACAAGGCATCTCTCCTAAATAGGTATCTAACATGCAACCCTAAGCATATCCTAATCCTAACACTAATATGCAGCTTATATCATATCATGATAAAACATAACATTCATGTATGGGTATTATGGGAATTACTTACTTGAGCCCGACTGATTGTATGCAACACACCCTATTTTCTTTAAGAAACCCTTTTTAGAAAACATTTTCTTGTAAAAAGATTTTAATATTTCCTCAGTTTGAGTCCAGACGCACCCCGTGCTAGCCTGAATCCTTCAAACCAAAGCTTTGATACCAACTTGTAACATTCCGAAAATACTAGGGTCAAATTTTCATTTTTAAAACAAATAAAACCATTATCCAAAACATGAGTATATTGTTTTCATAAAAATATCAGAGTAATCCCAAAATCTCATAGCGCGTAAATCATTAGTGGATGCAATGTAATCAAGCTGGCTCCTTTCCCTTGCTACTGGAAGTACCTAAAACATTTAAACGTAAACTGTAAGCACAAAGCTTAGTGAATAACCCAAAATATCACATACCATACATTATAGTGGGCCCCACCATAAAGGTATATTTCAACCCATGTGCATGTTATAATTCCACCATTGTCTTACCATCACTTCCATTGCTACAACCTCGTTGCAGTCTTTTCCACCATGGTCACACTATGGTCTTCCATGCAAGTGCTATGATCCAACCACCGTCTTGCATACAAGCGTTGTGATCGCACCAAAGTCTTTCATGCAAAAGTCACACAGACAATCTAGCATACATGACACCTAGTGTCCTATATAGTATAGTGAGAAAGAGTTGTAATCTTTTACTCGAAAATCCCATTGAATCAGCTACATGAAGCTCCTAACCAAACCTCAAACTACCACTTGAAACCTCTTCAAGTTTGACTAAAAGTCAATCTGGTCAAAAGTCATCAGTTAAGGTCAAAGTCAACTCAGCAGATTACCACATTGTGGCTGTTCTACGACAAAAGAGTCACGACAAGTCTCTCCACTACGTCGTGGTATGCATGTTACCACGTCCTGTGATCCGTTCAACACGACTTAATTGATTAAGCCCTTAATCCATTAAGCCACATACTCATATATTCCAAAAAGCCTCCTTAGACTCACATGTATCAAAAAAATCCTTGCTTTGTGGACATGCATGTCATGTACTCAAGTTAGGTCAAAATGAGAAGAATAGGGTTAAAATCCCATGCACGAAACCATAACTTCATAAAACCTTAGATCTGGAGTATATGACCTCATTATGACCTGAAGGATCAATAAAGTTGCCAAATTTATTGGATCATTCTATTCAAATTAACCTAAACATACAGAAGTATGGGTTGATTTCTGGTCTTTGGGGAGTGAAGGAGATTGAGGGTGGACAAACCTCGCCGTCACATCCTTTAAATAAGGTCCAAGACCCGAAATCTAGGGTTTTGAGCCCCAGTCATCACCACGTTATGGCCACTTAAAAACAATTCGACTCATTAGACGTTGTCACGCTGTAGTAATCCTCCTCCACGACGTCGTGGCCACCAACAATTCACAAAATAAAGCATAAAATTCATACCTAAAAACCGGGTGCTACATTTAAAAAAAAAAAATCAAGAGACAAGAATCATAAAATGATTCATATTTATATAAATGATACAGGTCCAAGTCATTTTGAAACACTTAACAAAAGGATGTTATTATATGTATCGTCAGTAACATAAATAATCAAATAATAGAGGATACACATTATTTTAATGACATGAAATGCAAAACAATTTAAAGGATAAATATAGATTAGCCCAAAAAATAATTACCTTTAACATTTTTGCAATTTTTTATATTTATTTATTTATTTATTATTATTATTATTATTATTATTATTATTATTATTATTATTATTATTACTTTTTTTTTTCGACACATCCATTTCTATATTCTTTTGTCGAATCTACATTTGATTTGGATCGGACCATATCGGATAAAGGCCCACAAAAAGTAGAAAACCCGGTAACCCGAAAAGCGTTCTATTAGGGTTTTTATAGCCTTGGCCTGGTACTTCTCTTTTAGCGCCTCCGTCTTCCTCCTCTGCTACAGATTTCAAAACCCTAGGTCTCTCTCCCTCCTCCTTCTCTATCAAACATACACTCACATCTATGGATTTATGATTTAACATTGCAATCTCAAGATTTTCTATTCGCCATCTTTCTTTTCCTTTTTGCGTGTAAAATCGATCAAAGATTATTAATTTCTGTAACTGTTTTGCAGGTAAGGCGTAAGCGAGAGAGGCAAAAAAATGGTCGACAAGACTAAAGGAAGAAAGGAAGAAGTGGTGACCAGGGAGTACACCATTAATCTCCACAAACGTCTCCATGGATGGTACGTATACATTGTAATTCGTATGCTTTTACTAGTTTTTTGCAGTGAACTTTTGATATTATGATGCTTGATTCCCTTTTTTTTCGCTGTTCGATTGTGTCTCCCGAGTTTTCAAATCCCCTTCATTATGTTCGTCGAGTAATTTCAAGTTTCCATCGTTATTGACTTTCAATATAGATGTATGTGTTCGAGTGTTGTCATATTGCTTGATTTATGCTCCATAGTTATTGCTAAAGGAGTGTTGATTTGGATCATTGGATGCCATTGATTGTTTCTTTATACATTCAATATGGCTAAATTCAAGAGATGAATTAGTTTTAAAGGAAGTAGTAGATTATTATTGATTGAAGTTTGTTATTTTAACCAGCACTTTTAAGAAGAAGGCTCCAAAGGCAATCAAGGAGATCAGGAAGTTTGCACAGAAAGCCATGGGGACAACTGACGTGAGAGTGGATGTGAAGCTTAACAAATACGTATGGAGTAGGGGAATCAGAAGTGTTCCCAGAAGAGTTAGGGTTAGAATTGCTCGCAAGAGGAATGATGATGAAGATGCTAAAGAAGAACTTTACTCACTTGTTACTGTTGCTGAGATCCCAGCTGAAGGGTTGAAGGGTCTTGGCACCAAGGTTATTGATGATGAAGATTGATTTATTCATCTTGGAATATGTGATTTTTGATATTTGGTACTTCTGTTATGATTTTAGTGTTTTATGTTTTGTTGAGGATTACAACTTTTTATGTGATTGAAAGATTTTCATACTTTGTTTCTTTTGATTTATTTTTAAACCTTTCGAATTCTGTCCTATTTTATGGCTAAAAATTTGTTATATCATTTGTTTATTGGGTTTGGGTTTGTTATTTGTTTGATGGTAACGATGTGGTTTATTATTTTTACATATATAGGCAATGATACTTTATTTTTTTTATCGGTAATAACAATTTATGTAGATTTATTTACTCATAATTATACTTGCAATTTTGTACACATAATAGCAGTACGCTTGCAATTATATACTCATCATAATAGCAACATTTGCATTTCTTTACTTAAAATAACTAAGGTTCTTAATAGTGGTCATAGGGTTTTTAAGTCGTAACTTAAGATGTAAACTTTTATACATCAAAAAAGAGAAATCACATAATTTTAGATTTATATGAAATATCATGTTTATAGAAAAGTTAAATTGTTACTATCAGTAAAGAAATATAAGTGTGTTGCTTGTATGTGTAAAAAATAAAATACATCGACTATCAGTAGGTTGATAAATCTAAATATTCGACTTTTAGACAATTAACCAGTCTCTAAATGACTATTTTGGAAACATAGATGTTTTTTTTTTTTTTTTTTCTTTTTTGAAATAATTCATATGTTAACATGACAAAACCAAATACAATGGTTAAATATACAACTTAGATGTCTTTTTTTTTTTTTTTTTTTTTAAATAAATGATATGTGAACATGGTAAAACCAAATACAATGGTTAAATATATAACTTATTCTTCAGGAAAACATTACCATTTTTAACTTGTGGTAACTGGGTTTCATACTCAGCTAATGATTTCAAATTGAAGTTTCCCAGATAAAAAATTGACTGAAAACTATCATAACATGCAAAAAACATATATTGACTATCAAAAAAAAAGTCAACTGTTTATTTTATGCAAAATATCTTCTTCACCTCAAAATCTAATGTACAAAATTTTGTTGTCTTTAAATCTTAACCTTGATGCAAAATCTTTACACCTTCATACAGAATTGAGCTTCTAATCAAACAAATTCGACAAATCACGGTTCAACACCTGGCGAAAGTTGACAAGTCAACGGGACTTGTAAGAGTACATGTAGTTTCGAAGTTTTTTCACTTCCTCAGATGATTCATTCATAAGATAATCCACATACAGACTAAATCCAGCTCCACTACAACAAGAATACAGATTTTTTGTTAAGGTTTTAAAATCGGATAAAACACCAATAGCAACCTACTTCACACAAATGTTTTACTTTGAAAATTTACCCAACTAAAGCAGTAAATATTTTTTAGAGTAAAATTTGTTTTTTTTTTTTTACGTTTAAAAGAAATGAGAACAGGAAAAGAACATAGTACCTCAATGGACCAAGAGGAAGCCAGATAATATCCCAACGGAATTTGGCCAACCTACAAAAAGTAATTTTACATTTATACCCTTTTTTTGCTTGTTCTTAAGTTGGAAAGAAAGGGAAAAAAAGTCATGTTTTAACTGTTTTTCGTGATATTCAGTTTCCCATGTAAAATAGGGTTCGATCAAGGGTATTTTGGTAATCATACAAAGAGTGCGAATCTTGCATGGAAGTGAAAAAATTTAGGTTGACAAATTTACACCTTTCCCATGTACAGTAACTGATGTTAGATCAGGGGTATTTTGGTAATTATATAAAGAGTGAGAGTGCAAAGCTTGCATGTATGTAAAAAAAGTTTTGAAGAGGAAAAATCAAAAATGGGTTGACAAATTTACAATTATAACCTTCCCATGTAAAATAGCTATGGGTAGATCAGGGGCATTTTGGTAATCATTTGAAGAGTGCAAATCATGCATGGAAGTGAAAAAAGTTTTTCAGGGGAAAAATCAAAATGGGTTGACAAATTTACAATTATACCCTCCCCATGTAAAATAGCTAGGGTTAGATCAGGGGCATTTTGGTAATCATTTGAAAAGTGCAAATCATGCATGGAAGTGAAAAAAGTTTTTCAGGGGAAAAATCAAAATGGGTTGACAAATTTACAATTATACCCTTCCCATGTAAAATAATTACAGCTAGATCAGGGTAATTTTGGTCATCATATAAAAAGTGCAAATCATGCAAAGAAGTCAAAGAAGTTTTTCAGGGGAAAAAATAAAAATGGGTTGATAAATTTACAATTATACCCTTCCCAGTTAAGGTTAGATTAGGGTTATTTTGGTCATCATGAATGGAAGAAAAAAAAGCTTTTCAGAGGAAAAACTGGTTGATGAATTTATATTTATACATTTATACCCTTCCCAAGTAAAATATAACGGTTAAGGTTAGATGAGGGCATTTTGGTAATTATATAAAAAAAGTGCATCCATACTTGAGCATATTATATAACCAGAAAACCGCAACCAAAACACCAGAGTAGCAAGAGAACCAAAGCCACCACCTATGAGACCGTGAGCAATGAAGCAGGCCAGCAATGGCCATAGCACACACGAAAACCCCAGCCCAGTCTGTCAAAAAGTGGTGAAATGTCTATAATACCCTCACATAACAATCCATAAAATTAAATAAAAGTAGAGAATATAAGAATATAACCTGCAGCAATCACAATCCATGATTCAATCTCATACATGAAGTAAGCATGGTAACGCTATAATAAGAAAAAAATTTCATTATTGAATTAAAAAGGTATCAAATGTTACACATTTTCTTGTGAAAAATATAAAACGCCCATATATATATAACATACCAATTCCCATGGCATTGTTGTTTGTCCATGAATTGAGAAAATGAGAAACGCCATGAAGCAACAAAGCAATCCAGAAAACACACGCTGCAAGAAAAGCACTTTAGGATACAAGTTTGGGAATTCAAAAATAATTGCTTCGAATTGGCATCAAAGAAATTTCCATCAACAAACCAAAACTATGTTGACGAATTTCAATTTGAGCTAAACAAGTTCAAATTTGGAATTGGTAGCGACCAATTCCAGGTTGCTATCAATCAGATTCCATAAAGTAAGAACTAAAACTATGTTGAAGTGCTCCAGATCGAATTTTGAGCAAAAAGAGTTCAAATTATCAAATTTCATGTAAAAAGCCACTCATCTATATAGTTATGATTCAGAGTCAACACAACACGATCGTTTTCATGTGGATGTGTAAATTACCCTCCAAAATCGAGATTGTTGGGCTTGAGATCTTTCGAGTGATCTAACCAGCTCCTCCTGCTCTGTGGCATGTTTCTCAATGTAAACAATCAGTAATTCAAAAACGAAAAAAAGGAAAATTTATGCCTTCATAAACCCTATTTAACAAAATTAGGGAAATCAAAGCGCGATAAAGAGAAAAACTCACCTTCGGTATCGATGGGATGGAAATCGGAGGTCGTCGGAAGGGAGAAATTATCTTCGCTGTCGTCTTCTCCATCAGAACTAACATTCTTCCATCTCCTCGCCAGTCTCTTCATCGTCGACTAAGAAAAGCTTGGCAACTCCAATCCTTCATGTCACAACTCACAACTCACAAGCACTAAATTGATATATTTCAAAAACATTCCTCGTACTTTTGTTTATTACACTTGGGCCATAATTTTCGCCAGGATGTTCACAATATTTTTTTTAAAGTAAATTACACAGATAGTCCCAGTGGTTTGGGGTTACCTTCACATTTGGTCCCTAACTTTTATTTTTAACTTGGAATGTCTCCTAGTATTGAAATGTGTAACTCGCCTAGTCCCTTATTTAACTTTCCGTCTGTTTTGTTGTTAGAAACCCCCCACGTGACTAGCATGTTGAGGGTAATTTTGTCCTTTCACAATTCACATTGTTAGTGCCGATTAGAAGGTGAAGAGTTTACGATCGTCCTACTCTCACCACATATCCAACACTAGAAAACACACACACATTGATTAGAGAAAAAAATCATTTCCTCATTTACTCACGAAAACCCTAATCATCGCCAAAACCCTTCTCTGCAACGACAATCAACAATGACAACTTGGAATTTAGTTGATACAATGGATGAAACAGAGGTTTGACGTCAATATGGTAAGCGCCTACACACTATACCTATTTTGTAATCGTTGACAACGACTTTAGTTTTTATGGTTTTATATGTTCAACAACTGATTATCCTACAAATTTCTGTATCTTACTGCACTATTGTGGAAAGTTTACCGATTTCCCATGATGAAAGTATCTCACGGGAAAAGCAACATTATGTTGGTTTACTGGATATTGAAACTTTCTTTGTGCACGATATTGAAGAGATGATGCATCGTCTTTTGTACATTGATGATGACGTCCAACAATAGCTCTACTATCATTTTCAGAGACCAAATGATGATTTGGATTTTGATCTATTTGCTTTAGCTTGTGATGATGATGTTTGTAACGCCCGTAGATCAAGGCTCGTCAATTTAGAGACAAGGAACATCAAAAATGGCTTTTTGTTAGAAGATTATTTAGGAGGATTAGTCTTAACTAAGTTGTAGTATATGTTACAAGGATTCCGTACATATAAAGAACGTTGAAATCCGAGTTATAATGAAGAAGTTATGACCTGTCGAAGTTTCACGACAGAACTGACACGACACAGCGTGACGTAAAAAGTGAATTTACATTAGAGCGATATTTAGCCTTAGTGATCTAAACGAAAGTCGTAGAGTTTGTTAAACCGAGAATGTGCATAAAAAGAACGTCCAAATCTGACTTCGTATGAGGAAGTTATGATTTTTCTAAATTTCAGCTTAGCTGTATGCAGCCCGAAACTCGAATTTTAGATCGAGTGATTTTTAGCCGAAACAATCTAAACGAGAATCGAAGATCTCGTCGATAGTAGTGCAACGGTAAAAAGACAGACGAAAACGGACATCGGATGAAGGAGATATGAGTTTCTGAAGTTTTTAAATAATTAAAGTATATAAATTTTATTATATATTCGGATAATATCCGAAGTGCTGACGAGTCCGATCTGATCCGAAAGGTACGCCCAGCGTACAAGGAGGTACGCCCAGCGTACATGTCGACAGCGAGGTACGCTCCGCGTCGGAAGGAGTTACGCCCAGCGTACTTCGGCCTTGTGTGGTCCGAGAGAGGGCCGCGTAGCACCACCGAGATCTCGCCACCTGGCTCTCCTATCCGAACTATGCCCAGCGTAAGGGCCTCGGTACGCCCAACGTAGTCCGAGGATCAGACCCTACATAAAGGGTGCGTGGGCAGCCGTGGTTTGTTGCTCAATTTCTATCTTCCACCCCTTATACATCCTATTTCTTGACAAGTTTTACCCCCGATGCCCCGATATCAATCCCGACACCCGAAGCAAGTCCCGAAGCCCCGGAGATCCCGAGAAATATAGTTTTCGAGCCGAAACTCTGCCCGCGTGAAGCCCGGTTTTGGAGAAAACATTCCGGTTTCAGCGAAGAATATTATTTTAAGAGACGAAGTGTTGTCAGATCATCGTCTTATCAAGTGGGTGTATAGTCCCTTTCATAAACACGATTTTAATACAAGTATTTTTTGAATGTATTAAGTATATGTTTTGGGTGAGTGTATAGTCCCTTTCATAAACACGATTTTAATACAAGTATTGTTTGAATGTATTAAGTATATGTTTTGGGTGAGTGTGTAGTCACTCTCTTCTAACACATAAATATGAAGTATTTGCTATGAAATACGTGCTATGTGTTTTTATATTGTTGTTTATTTAAGATGAGTGCAGAATGGATGTTTTATATAGTTTTAAATGAGTTAAACTGTAAATGCATTTTATATCTACAAATATGTTGGGTAGAACATGGGTAGATGAGATAGTTGGTGGGTGATAAAAGATGAGTTGGATAATGAGA